CAGGGGCCGCTAGCGATGCCGTACTGTGTGTGTGTGCGCACAGTGTTTTCATGTTTCTACAGGTGTGTGGGTTAGTTTCTGCATCTGCCGTCTTAAATCTGACAGCAAGTCGTCCTGTTGCAATTAGTGCCTAGACAGGCTTCCCTGCTAAGACCAACAGTCCTGTGTGGTTGAACAGAAAATACATGATAATTACTCGACTGTGGCAGAAGATTCTGCTCAATATATTGTTGAAATTTCAGCCTACCAGCTGATCGATATTCTTGATTTGTTGTTTGTCTCTGGGTGGAGCGGCAGTTCGTACCGTCAATAAAACTATGGTTTGTCCAAGACCAATTTAAAGCAGTAGTGTTAGGTCTGCGGCTAAATGGCCTCCTATTTTCCCGACTAAAACACCCCGATTTTGTCCCTAGAGAGCGAGTGTGCAAGAGCAAGCCAGTGTTCACTAAAGATTTAAAAACTACAGTCGAGGGAGAGCAGAAGAGTTAAAATGTAAGGCCCGCGACTGGTTATGGTAAATTACTTCTTAAAAGCAAAAAATTTCGGGAAGTCAAAAGGACCCAGTTTTTTACAGTCGATTCCAAAAGTAAATTAGTGACTTCACTTTCACCTGCCACGCAGGAAAGACCGGATACGACCTGCATCCTGTATGATTAAAACTCAATAAATTGGCATACTGAGCTCCATTCGCATAACAAATACTGAGTACGGATTACGACAGACGACACCAGTGACCCCCTTGCTGGAGTTCTGAAGACCCATTTGGGTTCGTTTCTCTTATTTTGAAGGTCAAGGTCAAGGGTTCGAATAAATAAGTGTTGGTTTCGATGCTAGGAAGTTCTTCCCCTTTATACTGGGCTAGTCCATAAGTTCGTGTGCTGTTCAGTTATTCAAAATTTGGTAAGATGTGGTTATGTAGTCCCACCTGAGGGATGCAATACTGTTGGTGTTGCGGTCAGAGGTTAGGTTCAGGGGTTAAGGTTAAGGGTTAGAGTTAGGGGTCAGGGATGGAGGTTAGTGTTAGGGGTTAGGGCAACTATTCCTCAACGACTCAAAGTACAACTGTGAATTCTCAATAACTTTTCGTTTGCATACAACTACTTGACCTCATCGCCTGTCCGTTCTCCGTCCCCACATGGTAAAAATCGCTATTACCACCGGTCCCTTATTACAGGTGTCTGGAGTTTGTTTACTTCAGATGGGGCTACAAAACCCCATCCGACCCATTTTTCTTACCAAAAATATGCTCGTTTGTTTGTGAAGCCGGTTTGAGCCGACTCTACTTGAACTGTCTTCCCATACCAACAAAGTTCGGACGGCGTGTAAAAGTTAAAGTAAATGTGGGCCTGTATGGGTGCAGTGACTGAGAAGGCTAGCTAGCCCGTCTACGCGTGCCGCGCACACGACCTTGAAGTGTATTGGGCCACTGTAAACGCCGATGGGGTCTCACATGGATGAGAATGTCTTAAAGATCACATTTCGAAGCAGCCGTTGTTGCCGTACTCTTGGTCCTCCAGTGGCTTAAAAATATTCACATGAAGATCGAGTTATCCGGTCAGTTGGCAGCCTTCTGAGCCATGTCTCTTAGCGCCGCACGATTGATTCGAGGGCGTCAGATTAATTGAAGTGAGGAATGCGCGAATTAATCATGAGGGTGGGTTTCGCCATATCGGTCAGATTCACTGAAGTCAGGAATGAGCGGATTTGGGAAAGATGTGGTTATGTAACCCCACCTGATGGACACAATGCTGTTGGGATTGGGGTTAGGGTAAGAGGTGATGGTTAGGGGTTGGGGCAACTATTTCACAACCACTAAAAATTCAACCACGCATCCCCAATAGCCTTCATGTTGCATACAGTTACTTGACCTCGTTGCCTGTGCTTTCCTCGGCCACACGTGTGATGACCCCCCTTACCACCGGTCCGGTATTAGAGGTGACTGGGGTTTGTTTACCTAAGGTGGGGCTACATAACCACATCTGGCCCAAAATGTTACCATACGCTTATATGCCACTCACAGAATTAGTCAAATATGTATTCTCATTGTTGTTCATAACATCGTCCCAATTATCAAACAGTTTTCCGATTCCGCGGTTGAAGAAATCCGCGAGTTTTGACGCAAAGAAGTCATCGATACAATTTTGAAGATCCGCGTCTTTATTAAAGGATAATCCGGACAACTTGTTTCCAGTGACCGGAAAAGATAGTAATACGGCGGACCAAAGTCCGAAGAACGTGGCGAATGCGAAAACTCCCCCAACCAAGCTATTCATTGACATTTTTGGTGAATTTTGAGGCGTGATGCCTCACGTCATCATGCTGCGAAGTGACACCATTTCGACAATTTGGGCGTTTTTGTTGAATTGCTTTGTGCAGATGATGAAGTTGTTGACTGTACAGTTCTGCATTAATGGTTTGGCTCCTTTAAAATAATTCATAACAGATAACTCTCTCTATATCCTACAAGACAGAAAACATCCTATTTCGAGGATGGAGATCAGATTTGGTTCGAGGTTTTGCTTGCTTGTTGGGGCATAGCTGTTTTTTCCCTTGTTTCATATTCACGTATAAGCACCACTTTCCATCGCTAGTGATAATTATCTTTAAAAATGTCGGACCAAAAATGAGGCACAAGCAGGCTTGAATAAACGAAGTTGGGAATGTTCTTGTCAACATGACATTACATTTTCCTTTGGCCATAAAAGTTAATTCAGATTACAAATATAAGTAAATTCTGCAAGCGCTTGACTAAAGTGACAAAGTGACATATAACATGAATACATAAAACAAGCCAAAAAATGGTAACATTCTAAATAATCAAAAGACACCCGAACTTGTGGGACAACTTAATATTCATGGGACAATCATGCAGAATTGATTTTCGCAGATCCCAAAACTTAAGCAAATTATGTGCGGCAAAGCACAGAAAAAAGTGTCAGACAGAAAAGTTCGTATAAATGAAACTTCAAGCCTGAGCTGTACTGGATCTACTCCTGAGCATATTCGTCTGAAGTTGCAGACGCTTCTCTAGTTTGGGGTGTTCGTTGGCCCGTATTGGTTTAAATCAAAAACTAGACATTTATTAACCGATGCAGAGGTTTTAAGTCCCGTAGATTTGACGCTGCACCAGTTCGATTCTAGCATGGTATATGCCAGTCGAGCCTTGCCTTAGAGGCCAGATTTAGATTCATCACAGGTGGTTGCATAAAAACCAGCCAACTATACTGCCGCCAAAATAGCGGCGAAGATGAGTGTAAGTGGAGAGGTCGCTTCCGAGACATCTGTCATCATCATCGTCGTCGTCATCGTCGTCATCATCATCATCATCATCATCATCATCATCATCATCATCATCATCATCATCATCATCATCATCATCATCATCATCATCATCATCATCATCATCAGCCAACTATGGACAACCTGCAGACCATGAGGGCCAGATGTTTTCGTCTATGCCCAGTTGGTCATTGAGCGTTTCAGTTAGTTGCTACACAGTTCAACCCATGGATTCACACTGGGCTGGCTATTCTCAAGAATTCGCAGAGTCGGACGAATAGGTCACTTAATCGAAATGACCAACCCGGTCGCTCTTGTCTCTTCTTTTAATAAATTTGCGAACTCTGTTCTTAAAAGGGAAAATGGGTTGACCATCGTTATACTTCTTGTAATCATCTTGGAGCAGTAACATGTTGTAAACTTGGAATTTGAAAACACGGGAACTGCTGGTTTTAAGCAGCCTACGTTTTCATATATTTCCTCAAAAACGGCGCATGTTAGCCTAGGAGATGTGTTTAAGTATTTTGCTCCGGTATAAAGCTAATTCGGAAGACCCAAATGCGACTGAAAACTGTCGGGAATCTCCCCTAAGACTCCACAGGTAGTAATTCAGGCCTTCAAATTGTCACATGCATGCCACTACCGAGTCTATGATTAAAACTAACTGATTAGTTGGACATCAAAGACTGCCTCATGGCTAAAATTAACATAGCCTTAACCGTCTGAAATTATTTAGTTACAACCTTCATGCTTAGGCTTCCGCAAATGCACACGCTCATTTTGGTTAGTGATTTAAACTCGAAAGCTTGTCATAAATGCGTGGCATGCAGTAGGAGACGGGCCTCCTTAAAATTCATTGCTTTCTTTTAGCACAGTTGCAAATAGAAGATACCCCCTTAACAGAATGCTTAGTCAACAGGATAAATCGTGCAGTTAGCTAAGTATCTTTCAACGCAACTCTGCCAACCACACTCGCGAAAAAACCCACTTGTTTGGTGGGCATCTACTGCTAATGATAACAGAAAACGGCGCATATGATCATATTTTCTGGATGGGATATAGACAGACATAACTTGTCTTATTTTATCTTACGAGAAGCGCACATGCTCTGAAGGTCACGCCTGAAAGGGGGATGCACTTCGATGTTAAAACAGTTGACGGCGGAGGACCGACAGTTCTATTTCCCATGTGCAACGAACCCTTTAAAGGCGCTGACACGCAAAATTAATGCTACGTTGTTGGCCTTGGAGAACTCAGGTGCAATAACACCGACCGACAGACGCATGGCGAGACCCCAAGATACGGCTTTGGCCCGATTCTATGGCCTCCCCAAGGTGCACAAAGACGGCGCTCCTCTCCGACCCATCGTGTCGCTCAAAGGGACTCCAACGTACGGACTGGCTAAGTGGCTGTTCCGGCGTCTCAAGCTCCTGACCGCTGAGTCAGACACCACGGTCTCTTCGTCAGCACAATTCCTGGAGAAACTCAAAGGGGTAGGCATCCATCCAAATGAGGTCATGGTATCTTTTGATGTTACATCCCTTTTTACTTCTATTCCCCAGAACCTGGCGATCGAGACAATTGAGCTGCTACTACAAAGCAAATACGACGAAACGGAGAACCGTCTTGGACACGCCCAAATCCTTCAGCTCCTGAAGCTCTGTCTCAGGACGTACTTCACGTTCAACGGGACAATCTACGAATAGGTGAAGGGCACACCAATGGATTCGCCGATTTCGGGATTCATCGCCGAGGCGGTCCTGCAACGGTTAGAATCGCTGGTCTTCCAACACCACAGACCGAAATTCTGGACCCGGTATGTGGATGACACCTTCGTAGTCATCGAACGGGATCAGGTGTTGACATTCCAAGAACATCTCAACGCCGTCTTCCCGGACATTCAATTTACGATGGAGGAGGAAGAGAACAACGAGTTGGCCTTCCTGGATGTCCTCGTATGCCGCAAAGATTGTGGTGAACTAAAAACCAAAGTGTTCAGGAAAGCGACAAATACGATGCAAGTACTGAACTTCAACAGTAACCACCCACTCAGCCACAAACGCAGTTGTGTAAGGACGCTCTATCGGCGTGTCGAAACGCACTGCAGTGAGCCGGAAGACAAAATTGCCGAACTACAATACCTCCGACGGGTCTTCAAAGCCAATGGCTACCCGCGCAACTTCGTCAACCGGTGCATACGCAAAAGGGACGAAAGGCCTAACCGCACGGACACCAAATCTTGGCGGGCACTTCCGTATGTCAAGAACGTTTCGGAAGCTGTCGGCCGCCTTCTCGCGCCACTTGGGGTTGGAGTGTCACACAGACCGGAGGCAACCATCAGGCGTCTGGTCATGAAACCGAAAGACCCACTGCCACGGCTAGAAACGTCTTTAGTCGTTTATCGGATCTGGTGCAGTTGCGGACAAAGCAACTGCGTCGGAGAAACTGGAAGACAGCTCCGAACGAGAATGGCCGAACACGCGGCAGCGGTGCGCAGAAATGACGCCAGCTCTCAAGTTGCGGCTCATTCGACGAGATCCGACCACACATTCAAATTCGATGAGGCCGAAATTCTCGCAAGAGGTGACAACCGCGTGAGCCGGGAGCTGCTTGAGTCATGATTTACTGGCCCCCAGTCCATCAACAAGTGCAACGAGCTTCCCATTCCATACTCCGTGCTAAAACTTCGCCTAGGCGGAGTAACAAGCCATGCGGGGAGGGCAGAGGTGAACACTTCTCCCAACCCGGGGTCGGTGCGTCAGATGGTCGAGCAATCATCATGCCAACATCCAACGCACGTGATGAAATTGCAGCAATTATCGACTCGAATGTCGGCCATCAAGCAATGATCACACGAAGTGCGACGATCCCGGATGAAGGGGGGAGCCGTGAATGTTCATAGGTATGCGGTAGAATGGCTACTGCATCCTATAAATACCGCAGCCCCTTGTGCAACAACCACCCGTTTCTGCTTTTTGTCTCTGATGATGGATTCGAGTAGGAGTCCGAAACGTCAGGCTAATAAAGCTCTTGTCCCGGCGATCGTGACTCCTTCTTCAAGTTTACGGCGGCTTGGTGGTCCAGGATGAGGTCCACCTTACTTAAACAATACTAGGCAAGGGTAAAGTATATGACCGGGGTAGGATTACTGCCGGGAACTGCCTACTATAGTTATTAATAAAGGCGTTGTTCGGAAAAGTTTTGATCGGAAGGCAGTCCTCTCTTCAAAAGCTCTGACCCCGGCAGCATGACATTCTTTGAACTAAACCGCTCCGAGCACACGATGCTGCGAAATTGTCTATGTTCTGCACACCCCCACATGTAATTCGCAGTCGAAGGAATGCAAGAGGCGTCTTCATGCGCATATTCTAACTGCCCACATAACCGTCATGTTCTGGTACCCAACGGGGAACATCACAAAACCACGTAATCCTTTGCATCTGCAATTACTGATTAACAGTTTTTTTCAATTTCCTTTGAATTACGAGGTTGACTTCCGCTTAATATCTTATCGCAGACAAAGATTCGTATTAGTTTGACTTTTTCCTAATTTCCCTCTTCCGGGTTTCCCATTTCTTCGTTCTGAGGCCCTACACATATAACCCCAATTGCTGACATTCCCATAAGACACGCCCACCGGTTACACTTTTCCGATACTGGTCATGTATTTTATCCTTGCCCTCTATTATCCTTAACGTTATCTTCAAAGTTGACCATATCGAAGAAGTCGAGTTCGGTAAACGTACGTTTTAGAATATTCCTCGTCAGGCCTGCACAATAATGCATGTTGTAGCAGAACAGTAAAAGTGATAACAACAGATAGGCAATAGTCATGAGACAGAGGAGCAAGTGAGTTCAGACATGCCGGGACCGAGGGCATATACAATTTGGTTCACATCGAGACACAGGGAGGGAGCAGGGAAGAGTGAGTAGTCCGCTGTAACGCGACGTTGCAGAATGCTAGCACGAACGTAAAGAGCTTAACTTGGCCCAGGGATACGAAGGGGTTTTAACTAAAGTCATTCATGCGTGATTCGAAAGGAAGACCTCCGAAGACAAGATAGACAGGATGGTTATTTCTCGTCCATAAACCATCATCAGCGGTGTTTCAAGCCAACTTTAGGTTTAAATGACCCTGAACACTGTACCATTAGGCATCATTCCAGCATTACTACTTGTCTATATGCGATTGTGGGAACGACTCTAGACTGGAACTCAGGAATGACTATATTCTAGGAAGAGTACGCTTCTCGCGCAAGGTATCCAAATAGTACTAAACCACCTTAAGGCCAAAAACGCCTCGTTTGCTCTAAAGAGCATTTAAAAAATCGCAAATTGCAGAGAAATAATTAAATAAATAACATCTTTGGACAATCCTTCTCGGAAATATAATTGAATCCACACAAGCATAAACAGTCACAAGCTGCTCTAATGGTGACAAATTCAAAAGAACTCACATGAGCGGCTGAAAACATGCCACGTAACTTTAATGCTTTGAGATCATAGTTCCCGTTTTTAAGTATGGCAACCTTATTTTGCCAATATTTGCGATTCAGAAGTTTATACAAGTACTGCATTCAGTGTTTGCTGAGGCCTTCCACCAGCTGGGGGAAATGTGCATATGGAGTCACTTGTTGTATTTTCTCATAGATAAGCTGCTCACACAACGTTCTGGACTTTATTCCATACTTTCACCTATATGTAGACTGGTTTGTGTACACCTCATTCTGAATGAAGTGCTCGAGATTTTGCGTTCACTGTGGTGTTGCTGTCATAGGCCTCATAGGACTTTCTTTAGGTCAAGAAAACCATAGTAGGTCCGATGCATACGTACAACAGCCCTCTGATGGAAACCGTCCTTCCGATCAGCCGTCAGCAGTTCACAATTCCACTCGCGAGGGACACATCTGAGTAGTTGATAGCTGGTCGGGTGGGGCTTTATTAATCGAGCCATACGATGAATGCGTGCAAACCCAGCACACAAGAACCTAACCCGTAGCACTCGTTAATACACATGTACTTAGGTTTACCTTGGTCTTGATATGCTGGCCGGGCCTTAAATCGCCCCCTAAGACACAATGGGACGCGTAGACCCCGTAATGTGACCGGTGGGCGCCCTCTACCATAACAGCAGCAGAAATGTCCCCTCCCTTCCTGATGTCATGATAAATCTCCACACACCTCTCTGCATTATCAAAATCATCGGTACTGCACATCGAACAAACTATACACTCATATCGCCCAAAGTGACAGGAAGAAAAATACACATGCTATTGGAACACGGAGTTTATTGGAAAAAAGCAATCCTACATTCAAATTACAAAAGTAGTGGGAGTAGGTTTAATAAGGCTACAGAAGACCACTGAGTCAATGTACAGGAGAAGTAACCCGGAAAGTCCGAATACTAGAGTCGTCAGGGGATGGGTGAGCGAGACTTCTTTACTGGAATACTGCAGCAGTGCAGCACTCCCAAGGACCACTGAAATAACGATAAATTTATGGGTAAAGCTTACTGCTAGGGAATATAGGCGATGTCTACTTTCTGTAATACTAAGAAATAGAAAAGTCTGTTTCCCCTCTTATCAAGTTTTCAGCAAATTTTGTCAGGATGGCACAAATAAAGTTTAAAAAAAGCGATGCATAAGCAACCAAGAAGTTTTATGATTTGAGATAAGGTTTTTGAACGGGTCGAAACAGGTTATCGTAGGAAATCCCAGGGGCCTCAGGTACTATCGATTTTGAAGAATCAGTTTCTCCGACAACAAAAAATGGCCTCGTTCACATATGTAACCACTGGTATTTAAGGCTTCGCGTAGAGATCCTATTTTCTGCTGTGAAGATGTCGGGGCTATGAGGTGGAATTTTACAGGCTTAGCTTTAGTGCGCTGGAAAAAGTTCTGTCGGGTAACCGGTTCATTTAATTTCATTCGCATTCACCAAGTTGTATTATCAAACAAGTGTGTGCTGGCGGATTGGTTTAAAATGTTTTACGGATAATTTCTGCTGGATACTAAAGCAATTTTCGATTATATGGTATAATTAACTTAAACCAGTAACTGGAAGTTTAAAACATACATAAAATGACACCAGACGCAATCCAGGCATGCATGCTGGGTTAATTTTAAAGGACTCCCTAACGCCCGAAATTAAACCACTTTGACTTTATGTCTATAATTCATACTGACCAAGATATCTGAGGATCACCTACTTATAAATTTACGCAAGACGAATGTAGAATGAAGAACTAAATATAAACATAAGGCATATGACTTAAAACGTATAAAACATAAAAGTCGACTAGCAAACATCATTTCCAGCCTATGCCATTTTCTCCTTGCACCACTGATCATGACACGCTGATTTTGTCGAGTAGGTAGGGTGGGGATGAGTGTTAATAACCCCTGGGACACTTGCAAACCCTATAAACGTCTCGTATTTTCAATTTCAATGTAAATATACAGGCCTGAGGATATGCGTTTGTTAACATGACTTTTCAACTGTAACACGGGAATATTCGCAGAACTAAGTTCGATGCGTTCGTCGACTTATTTACTGCGGGTCATGTTCAAAGTCCGCGTCTTCGGTTTTAAGATGCAGTTGTTTAGGAGATAAAATGCATCATTTTAAATGGAGACAGAAGGGAGTAATGGGAGGCCACATCACCTACGAGCTCAAATTTTAAACCGATGAAGTGTCACGGTTTTCATACAACTAAAAAGTGGTAGACATCCAAGACTCAAGCTCCCATCGTATCCTTGACCCCAATAACGAACCATAACAATTCAGTTAAGGAACTATCGTCGGTTATAAGGGAACTTACCGAAAGCATCAGGAAGAAAATGTATTGCGGCTGCAATGGTTTTTTCTCCAACTCGCTTATTTGAAACAACTGGACGCTTTAGTGGAAAATAATTATGCCAATGCGTGTGAGAAATTCTGAGATTGCATAGACTGATTACTGTCAGCACCAGATGAATTATGGAAGACGTTTTATTGCGCAACGTAGTTGAAGACGTCTGTACACGTCTGCAGAAGTCTTCTTGCACAAAATCCTACACAATGTCTACCCTTAACCAGTTCCATTTAGAGAGATCAACTAAAGACTGTTCATTAAGAGAAGTTACAACAAAAGTTGATATCCTCTAACTTATCATATTATCGAACAAACCTTTGTTCACCTGCGATTTCCCTACTTTATGAAGTTATTTCCGAAGGCGAAGCTCTAAGCCAAACTATTCTGCAGTTTTGCTTCTTATGGAACTCATTATTCATCCACTGAATTCACCAAGCAGACAGATCAAGAACCTACTTTACGCCACTGAGAATGCATTTTGCATTGAAATATCTGCATTTGTTTCTTATTTTATGAAATCTTCGGATTTAATGTTTCCCTTTGGTAGTTGATCATCTTCTTGTCTTTTTTGTCCCAGGCAGCCAAACTTATAAAAAAGCATCGCTAAGCTTTTCTGCACAGATGTTGTATAGGGGATTGGAAATGCACAAATGAGTAAGAAGAACGTTATAAAATTCTCTGAAGACCCTCGAATGCAGTATGCGCTGCAAATGGCGAAATGCTGATGAAAACGTTGGCGTACCCTTACGAACGGAACAGATTACGTAT